AATTTCACGATTTGCTAACAATGCACACACTATCAGTTATCAGAAACACAACAAAGTTTTATTATTACATGGCATTGATTCGTAAACCGAATTAATCGCTATCGGAACATGGCGATTCGCGACAAAAAATACACGAGTAACTGACCACAGTACAAACTGGTAATTACTACTCGACTCAGAATGTTTCAGCGACGGCGACAAACATTCGCAACTGCGCGGATGAAAGACACTTAAGTTGCATGTAGCGTGTGAATTCCGACGGCACATCGTCTCGCTGACGTAAACAAATAAATTTAATAGATAAAGACTAAACCTGCTGCACCAATTCGCGCGATCTCTCACGGCATGCACGTTTCCACACTGGCTACTACCTGCCAACAACTGGCAGCGAGATATGTTTAGAATTTACTGCACATATTACTATTATACCGGGTGTTCCCGAAAGAAAATTTAAAATGCAAACGGGAAAATCCTAAAACCAACAGCTAAAGCAAAATTGTCACGGACACAAAAGAAAACATATATACAGGGTGTTCTAGAAAGAAAATTCCATGTTAAAAACAGAGAACACTCAAAACTCACAACTAAAGGTGATTTTCTACGTGCTATTAGGAAAACTAATATACAGGGTATTACAAAATAAAATTTTAAAAACTACAAAGGGAGTTAATATTCACAATTTGAAGAGCGAACTTGACAAATTAACAATAATACTTTAATAAAAAATCAGAGATTTTACCCGAGAAACATCGGAAAATCGCAAAAAGGTGCTACAAAAATAAAACACTTACATTTTAATATATTGTGAATAAATATTTATTAATTGATTGTAGCATCAACTGTATAAAAAAAATATCCCGCGGAAAACAGTTAAATCAACAGAAGGTAAGCGACGGCGCCTAGCAACACAGTGGTTAAAAACGATAAAAATAACTATTTCTTTGTAAATATTAAGATATACTGAGACTGCAAAAACGAAAAACTATTCAAGATTTTATTTCAACAAGAAATTATTCATTTACTGATGCAATTTGATTAAATATGTTTACGTGATCATCGGAAACATGACCGAACCGACGGCCGACGGCAAGGTAAGCGTGGTCGACTACATGAAAATTGTCATTTTAATAATCCTCAGATAATTTTAAAAACCGTGCTTGTATTAATTAAATCAAGCCTGTTATTTTCGGAAACGCGACTAAAAAGAATTATGATAAAAAATGCCCCCACGTGTTTGTAATTTACAGCGCTTTAACTTTCCGCGAAAAAATTTAATTATCCACTCACCTGTGAATTGATGAGGAAATTTTCTATCCTGTAATATATTCTATCAACTGAAAACTCGCGCAGGGATTAACGGACACTTATTTCTCACTTAAGAAGACTCTAACCGCCATAAATCATTAAAGAAAATAGGAACACATGCCCATTGCGAATATTTAGCCGATGGCCGAAAGAATACACGACGATTAATCCAATTAAAACCTCAAAACGCGTGGCGATTAGAGAGACACGCGCGCGGACCACGCGGTGAAACAACTGTCGTGTGCGCTTCGCGTAGCCGGGTACAAGGCAGGTATGCAGCGATATCACGAGTCCGTCGAACAAAAAAAGTTGTTTATACACAAACGTACTGATAAACACGTAGTTGAGAAGACAAAACTAAATATTCACAATGTTGAAATACACATACACGAAATTTACTTTTATTATCAATATTTCTCGGCATACGCAAATAATTTATTGGCTTTGGGATGTAACAAGATTGAGTCTTCGTAAAAGTTTACTGTATACCTTAGTTAATTAAATAATTGGTGTTTTTGTAAAGGTTACTCACACTTTATATGTATGTAGGGCAGTAAAATACCACTTATTTCCATTTCAGTGTTTCAGTGTTATAATTGTAACACTACACCTTGCAAACTAAAAATAAATAAATACCTCTTGGCCTGTCAAAATTTAATAGAAAATGAAATCGTTGACGATTTTTTCCTTTACCGAAAATTACCATTTTCTATCGAATCCTTCTGAAAGAAGCATGCAGTTCACAGCTGGTCCAAGATATCCGTAAGGTCTCGTTAAAACGTTAACCTACAAAAATAATTTATAAGATAAGATAATAAAATTTGGAAAATAAGACGGAAAATAACTAATAGCCAAATATATTGCTGCATCATGCTGTTTGAGTAATTTCAGTAATGAATATCATCTAAACTAAAAGCGCTAGCAGCCAAAGGATTATACATTATAAAAATTTGGAAAGTTCTTTATAAGATGAGACAAGAAAATAATTAAAATTTAGGGTATAACTAGGGATTCTTAGCCGACGGAAGATATCCGCCGGCCGAAATAGAACAAAAAACTGCTGAGCGCCCCGGTCTAGCAGCAGCACAATAAAAAAAAACAAGTTGTTTGCACACAAACACCGATAAAAGTCAAGAATGAAACATGAAAATTCATATTTTGGATGAAGTCTAATGTAATGAAATGATTTTATATTGTGGACGTTGTTTCTTATTCATATAAACAACATACGAAGATAGCGATAAAAGTGACACCCATTTAAGACACCGTACGAGGGTAGCGGTAGAAGTGACTCCCATTCAGAGCACCGTACGAGGGTAGCGGTAGAAGTGGCTCCCATTTAGGGCACCGCACAAGAGTAGCGGTAAAAGTGACTTTATTCAAGGTACCTGAATAACGATTTTAGAGCACTTCTAGCGAGATTTTGGTGGACTGCAAGATTCCATCTAAGGAAATAACTCTCGAACTATCTAAATTTGTAAGAATCATTGAAATCGCGCAGACGGTTCGCGCGATACAGCCGAATTTCCACCGGGTGTTTCAATAATTCACACAAGTCGTAAAAGTTTGAGAACGATTTTAAGGCACTTCTAGCATGATTTTGAAGCACTGACAGATCGCAACTTAGAAAATGACTCTCAAACTCTCTAAATTTGAAAGATTCAATGAAATCGCACAAACGGTTTGCGTGATACAGCCGAATTACCACCGTGTGTTTAAAAAAATCACTAAAATCGTATAAGTTTAAAAGCAATTTTAAGGCGCTTCTGGCGTGATTTCGGCGGACTGCAAGATTGCATCTTAGAAAATAACTCTCGAACTCCCTAAATTTGAAAAATTCATAGAAATCGCACAAACGGTTCCAGAGATACAGCCGAATTTCCACCGTGTGTTTAAAAAAATCACTAAAATCGTATAAGTTTCCGAGCGATTTTAAGGCACTTCTAGCGTGATTTCGGTGGACTGTAAAGTCGCATCTTAGAAAATGACTCTTGAACTCTCTAAATTTGAAAGATTCAAGGAAATTGCACTAACGGTTTCCGAGATACAGCCGAATTTCCACCGTGTGTTTAAAAAAATCACTAAAATCGTATAAGTTTCAGAGCGATTTTAAGGCACTTCTAGCGTGATTTCGGCGGTCTGCAATGTCGCATCTTAGAAAATGACTCTCGAACTATGCAAATTTGATGGAATCATTAAGATCACACGAACGGTTCCCGAGGTACAGCCAAATTTTAACCGCGCGTTTCAAAAACTCTTGAAAATCCAGAAAGTTTGAGAGTGATTTTAAGGCACTTCTAGCAAGATTTTGAGGGCGGCAAGGCCGTATCGTATAAAATGCCTCTCGCGCTATGAAAATTTAAAAGAATCATTAAAATCGCACGCACTGTTCCCGAAATACAGGCAAATTTCCACCGCGTGTTTCAAAAATTCATGAAAATCGTGAATGTTGGAGAGCAATTTTAAGGCACTTCTAGCAAGTTTTGGGGGGTGGCAAGGCTGTATCGTATAAAATGCCTTTCGAGCTATGCAAATTTGAAAGAATCATTAAAATCGCACGAACGGTACCCGATATACAGTCAAATTTCCACCGCGTGTTTCGAAAATTCGTGAAAATCGTAAAAGTTTCAGAGCGATTTTATGGCATTTCTATCACGATTTTGGGGGGCGGCAAGGCTGCATTGTATAATATTCATCTCCCGCTATGCAAATTAAAAAGAATCATTAAAATCGCACGAACGGTTTCCGAGATATAGCTAAATTTCCACCGCGTGCTTCGAAAATTCATAAAAGTCGTGAAAGATTCAGAGCGATTTCAGGGCACTTCTATCGACATTTTGGGGGGCTGCAAAGCTGTATCGTATAAAATATATCTCGCGCTATGCAAATTTGAAAGAATCATTGAAATCGCATGAACGGTTCGCGAGATACAGACAAATTATCACTGCGTGTTTCGAAAATTCAAATAAATAGTTAAAGTTTCAGAGAAAAAGGAAATTACTTCATCGCAACAGAAAATGCCCAGTTCAAGAATAAAAACACTAGTACACAATAAATGTAGGCAATTTTTGATAACAAACTAAGGAAAACAAATATACAAGGTGTTGCAAGAAGGAAATTGCTATATAATGAAAGAAAATAAAAAGTTCAATAAGGAAAACACTGAGAAACAATAAATTTGGACAGTTTTTAATCGAAAATACAGGAAAACGAATATACAGGGTGTTGCAAACAGAAAACTACTTCACTTAAAAAGAAAATACAGACCTTAAGAAGGAAACATCCCAGAAACGACAAATATAGTCAACTTTACATTTAAGAGCAATGAAAGGTAATACACAGAGTGATAAAAAAAATCGCCACATTTAATAACAAAATTCAAAATTCTCGACGAAAAGATTTTAATTCTCTATTAAAGGGTGACAGAACAAAAATACAACTAAATTTTGAGTTAAGAATAAAAATCGAAGAAAATTTAAACTAATATTCTCTCAGAATATCAAAGAATAGAAAAGGTAGGGAAGCTAGAGTGATAAATAAATAAAACATTTTGAAATTATCATTCGCCAAGGCAAAAGAAGGTGTCGGCCGACACACATGCACACACGCGAAAAGAAATTTAAATCGTCTTTTACAAATATATTACTCTCTATAACTAATTGTCAAACTACTAAAACACGTCAACGCGACTGCAGAATTATGAAATCAAAAGAAAATGCGAGTTAGGAAAAATTCACGCTATTAAATCGATGATAGACATGTCCGCGGCGTGACCGAAGACGCATCCGACGGCATTCGTCAAATTTGAGTTGCTCACGTTATTACGATACCTGTGATTTAAAGCAAAAATGTAATTATGAGGTAATACTGTTTAGAAACTTACCAATGTATCGGGTAATCAACGAAAGTACTGAAACAGAAGAAAAACACCTGTGTGAAACACGCACCATGATGCACACTTGTAACATTTTAACTCACAACATTTCCGGTAAATTTGCCAAGGACAGATGTTAATTACACTTATTCAAAATTATCAATAGGATACATATTTCTAATTAGAATTCTCAACATCGAAATGATGCAATAGCGGACGTAGTGGTCCGTCGTCCACATGAAAACACGTCTGTTGTCATTAGGTGCCGATAATTACGAGTATGCCGATTTTCAATGAATAAAATGTAATGTAAATTAATGTAATCAAAACGAATGAAAGAAAGATGCCGAGCCGCGTGCAGGTAAGAATAGACTAAAACGGTCGAACTTCGTAGCGTGAACGCAAAATCGCGATATCGCGATACAAAAAGTTGTTTATACGCAAACCGCGATAAGCGTGTAGAATTGAAATAGAACATTTCCGATGTGTACTAAAATATTTTACATTTAAGAGCAAATGAAAGGTAATACACAGAGCGATTAAAAAATCGCCACATTTAATAACAAAATTCAAAATTCTCGACGAAAAGATTTAACACCTCTATTAAAGGGTGACAGAGCAAAATACAACTAAATTCTTTGAGTTAAGAATAAAAAATCGAAGAAAATTTAAACCTCAGATTTCGTTTTAACTATCCTATCTTATAGCGTAGTGCGTAGTGCTTTTGGTATTGGAAATATTGTTATTTTATATTTTTATCAGATAGAGAATTTTCCAATCTTTCATAATCAGCAATTCGTGTGTTGTTATCTTTTTAGTGTAAGAGATATTAATTATTGAAATTGATAAAAAGTATCAAGCACCCCTCCCTTGGTAATTTTTTCTTAAGAATTAAAATTTCATCTCTCAGATTTCCGTTTTAACTATCCTTTCTTATAGAAAATAGTGCGTAGATTAAGACGCTGCGATCAGATCCTAAATATCTCTTTTAGTTTACGAGATATTCGCGATTGAATAAAATAGGCAAAAATGGAAAAATGTCACTTTTTAGCACTTTTAGTCACGTTTTTCGATCTTTTATCCTATGATATTTAATTATTTTATATTCTAATCTAATAGAGAATTTTCCAGTCTTTCATAATCGGTAATTCGTTAGATTCTAGCGCTTTTAGTTTAGACATTTAGACAATTAGTTAAAACATGTTTTATATATATTGCAAGATATGTATTACCTACTTACAAGATGGAACATGTTCGCACGACATCGGCTTTGTAATCCATGACATCCAACGGACGACAGAGAATAATTTCACGATTTGCTAACAATGCACACACTATAAATTATCAGAAACATGGCGATTCGCGACAAAAAATACACGAGTAACTGACCACAGTACAAACTGGTAATTACTACTCGACTCAGAATGTTTCAGCGACGGCGACAAACATTCGCAACTGCGCGGATGAAAGACACTTAAGTTGCATGTAGCGTGTGAATTCCGACGGTACATCGTCTCAAGGACGTAAACAAATAAATTTAACAGATAATGGGTGCATTCGCGTTGGACGCTTACGCGCTGTGAGCGTGCTTACATGTCATTTTCATCGTTCGACTTGGCGCTGTGAGTGTCACATAAGTACGCTCATGGCTGAGTTCGTAGCACAGACTTCGCGCTCATTTATGCTCACGCCACAGAGGTAGGGCAGCGAAAGCGTGAGCGCCAATTTTTATTATCTGTCAAAACGAATGCAACTTGAGCATAAGCTAACCAAAAAATTTCATTTATTTCTAAATTGTAGTTCAAATGAGTATTACAATACTCCCATTCCATGTCATTATCACTATCTTCAATCATATCAAACTCATCACTATCATCAGACTCATCATCGATAATTTCTAATAAATTATTTATTATTTGATAAACAGTTGCCATGTTGATGATTATTGACGCTCACAATATCCAAAACGAACGAAATTTATTTATTGATTCTAAGCGCCTATAGGCCATCTCGAACACTAAAAATTTGTGCTTATAAGCGTGAGCGCTCACAGCGCGTAAGCGTCCAACGCGAATGCACCCAAAGACTAAACCTGCTGCACCAATTCGCGCGATCTCTCACGGCATGCACGGTTCCACACTACTACCTGCCAACAACTGACAGCGAGATATGTGCTTAGAATTTACTGCACATATGTGCATGCTAGCGCCATCTTTCGACAATTTGCGATAAGTCGTTTCTCCGCGGCGAAATATCATGCATCCAAGTTTTTGGTGCGAAAACAAACCAAATAACCTTCAATACTAAACGGTATCCCGGTTTTAAGTTTGTTTAAATTAGTTTAATTTCTTTTAGGTTGTGATAACTTACATTCTGTTAAATTATTCGATATGGAACGAACGAAAGAACAAATTCAGGAAATGTTATCCCTTGCCAAGCTCTGCCCAGATGATTTACTCCCAACAACACAAACAATCTACTTTGCATCAAATTTACACAAACATAATGAATATAAGTTTATTCAACTCAATCCAAAACTTGAGGCAACTTTAAAAGCAGGGGATGTGTTGCATATAAATGGTGAACAGGATGACAATGCTGTGCTCTGTACTGAAGATACTACATATGAATTATTACATTCAGAAACCTCCAACAGTCTGCTGCTTGTCAAAGATTTAAAATTAAGAGATACTCTAGCAAAACCAATTGAAAACTCTTTGCCAGATATTCATAAAGTGCCAATTGAAGGTATCTTCTATGATTATTTGGAAGCTGTTCATAGAAAACCTCAATTGTCAAAGTTAAAAAATATTTTAGAAGAAACAACATACAAGGGACCAGAATTGGAATATGAGGTTGTTAAATCTAAACTGTATACTTTTGAAGATCTTTGGCTCAAGGAACAAGCCTCAAAAGCAGAACTAAAAGCTGCTTTGCATGAAATGCAAGTGATTACAGTTGATGGCAAACTGCGTTTGCTTGATTTTGAGTACCACTTTAGAGTATTGTCATTCATGTTAAAGATAATTGATGAAAATTCTTGGCCACTAGATGAGGTTGACTTTGAGGTGACAGTGGAGACTTTGAATGATTTAGTTCCATTGGATGTGTTAACTTCTGTATTTGAATTATACACTGTGGAAACTAAAGTCAGAGATGGCACACAGTTGTATAGATATAAAGAATTTGATGTTTGCCAGTTCTTTGCTCAGGTACTGTTGTACAGTGCTGGCAAGTTTAATTTAAAAGACTTTTTGCAAGCATGGCAAGAATCTGTGCCTGAAGGTATGATTACTGATGAAGAGATGTTGTATGGCATTGCAATTGTTGATAGAAAAGCAAATCCAAGTGTTGTTTGGAGTTTTCCTGAGAGTAAATTGCCACAAAACATTAATGAGAGATTTAAAGTATTATTTGATACAAAGGAGAAGTGGCGTGTTAATGAGATTGCACCTTATATTAAGTAAGAATTCGTATCTTTTGGGTTTTTAATTGTTTCATTGATTATATTTTTGTAGGAATTTAACGAATGATAAACAAGACGTCAATGCATTATTAACGAAACATGCTCGACCCTCGAAAATTGATGGAGTGAAGTATTATTCATCGAAACATGCTAAATAAATATATTATCTTAGAGTGTAAATAAAGCTATTTTTCTATTATTCAACATTGAATTTAGAATTGATTTCATCTGATTTTTGCATGTGGTGCTCTCCGGTGGTGATTCTGAAGATAATTTGATTGTTCATAAAATGGTTCATAGAGGAAGCGCAGACATGGAAATGTCTAGTAAGTAACTTGAATAGCAAATTTACTGCAAAAAACAGCAGGAAACCGCTTTCAAATGTATAAAAATATGTATTGATAGATATAGTTTAATTATTTATTAGTTTAGAGTATTATTATCACATTGAATGACATAGAATTTCACAATATCGATTTTCGAAAAATGTATACGCCTAATCGTGCATATTAATTAAATTTATCATACGCAATAATTGAATAATGTACGCGAAGATAGAAGTTAGACATTCTCATGTATATACATTACAATATATTATAAAGTATTTGTACTAATAGTAAAGTGATAAGTACGATTAGAATTATGTGCCAAGAGACGCCATTTAGCGTAAGACCAACGTTAAAATGACGATTTTGGCAAAATTGTGTATGAGTTAAATGAGTATAATCTAATTTCGTAGGCGTTTGATCGTTGACGTCATGACGCGTTGTGTTTCGAATTGCAGTCGAGTATTTACAATAATGGGGCCAAGTGACGATTTGCCACCTAAAGGCTTACACACGAAACATTCACTTCTCTAACAAGACTTACTCTAACTCTATGTTTTACATTTGTTTGATTTATGTACATTAAAAGTTAGAATTGAAAAAATAGCCTTAATTTTTGTACATGTCACATAGGACTTTCTCCATTGGAGTGTTGCCGATGGTTTTGTGAAAAAATATAGTCTCAATACGAGCGGCGGGTACAATACGAAGCAAGGGTAACATGAGTAGAAGTCGACCAAATCGGGCCACTTGACCAGGAAGTTGAGCACGACAATGCTGCCACAGCATGACTTGAGCTTGATCTTGAAGGTTCTCAATTTGACTTGGATCTTTCAAACCACGTGTTTCTGCAAAATATTTCTTTATAACATCTGCATATCATTGAAATCTTTGATTTTACCTGCTCTAAAGAGAACGATGGCTTTCAAACAAGCGAATTCTGCTGGATCGACATGCACAGTCTTGAATCGTATTAAAGTATCAGCGAGATACCTAACATCCGTTGTAGAGTGTCCGTTTTGGCGTGTTCGTTAGGATTGAATAATGGGGACGCTCCCACGTCCAATGGCATGCACCATTGAATTGCATTCAAGAGAAAAAGTTCACTCCAAGCTTCTTCCAACAAAATTACCTGCGATAATAAATAAATTATAAGCATTTTATCGAAAAATAAGGTTTTATAATTACTTGATCGCGAAATGGTAAGCTGGCAAAACTGGGTAGGTTTTTCGCCCACTTGACAGCCATGAAAAGCAGCCTTGCCGAGGTCTCGTAGACAGTCTCACTGGAGCTGGGATATAATCCAGCGGCGAGTGCGGATTGCGGTTCGGGTCGCAACGGGCCACTGCTGGACGACACTCCGCACCCAGCCGGTGTATCCTCCTCCTCGTTGGTAACATCTATACTTTCCTCTGCAGCAAATAAATATAAAAAACGATAATTTTTACCTGGTCAAGAAAAAATGCAATAAATTTTAATTCATTCAATAAATCTCTGCATACACCGTTTTGAAATAAGCGATTAGACGAAGGACGGGTTTTTCAATTAAATTAATACATATTTAATGTGATGCGGGTATGTGGCGCGGGCGATAGTTGCGCGAAACAGCGAAAGGATGGGTAATCCCGCTTGTTGCAGACTCAAGTCGGCAAGTCGGGGCGATATTCCCCAAAGAATAATTAGTCACTGCGATCGCTTTGCATATCGCAGACTGGTTTAATCCGCGTTTGCTCAGAAGGGATGCCCACAGTATAGAGGTGAGGTGGGATTACACATGTGAGGATCATGTAAAGACGTCACAGAAAAATATACGCAAACAAATACATATATTGTGTGAAATTATATTCTGATACGTACCATCGTTGTCACTACTGACATCCTGCTTGATTGGCGATGGTTCCCGGTTGATCATCGGAGGCGGCGGTACAGCGTGCAGCAGCCCACCGGGCGCGTACCTGGCTACCGGTGACAGCGCCATTGTGAGGGAAACCGGTGGACTGTAAAGAGATGAAAAATACAGGTGAACTACGCTCAATAACACCACTAGTGTGGCTAATCGGGCGTGAGATAATGCGGTCTCTTCACTTCTAAGCTCACTCGTCACCCGTCGTCACCTTTACGCCTTACGGTTGATAGGTTGATTTGTTTCAGTGCTAACATGTATTGATTGATAGGTAGTAGGTGGATAGATTGTGTGAAGATATTTTTTTTGCTCACCCAAACACACCAACGGCGACGGCGGCCTCTCGAAGGGCTCTTTCTTGTTCGACACTCATGTCGCGCAGGGCTTCCGGTCGAATGGTGGCTGTATTGCGAGGTTGTCTTTCGTTTTGCACAGCTGAAATTAGATAATAGGTATTTTTTTATTAAAACTGCGTTTGTTTGTTTGCTAAAGTCTAGAGTATAGTTCAATTTGTTTTGGCATTAGTTAAATAGTTTGGTTTGTCTAAGGACGCAATTGTTTACCGAAATAGCGTCGCCGTTGGTGACGGTGGCGGTGTTCCTTTTGCATTAATTTTGGAGGACGAACCGCCACAGCACCTACGGACAATTGCATACATTTAACAATGTTGTTTCGATTTGTTTTTATCGAAACGCTTTTTAATTACATAATGATTTATTAAAATTTAGCAAAAATTTAAATGTCGATGAAACCGAGTATTGTCAATTAAGAGTTTAACCATTCAGTATTTTTGTCCTAGAGTAATATTTTATAGAATTAGTGTTAAAATTGGTTTTTAAGATGAATATGCAACATTTTTGAATTTTTTTTAATTTAACCTTTATAACTTTATTTTCTCTGTTTGTAAGTTATTGAATCACTTTGCATACGGTTCACAAGTATTGTAAAAGGGTGTTTGATGTTCAAATGAGTGTAATAAGACCACAAAGAGCATAAAATGTGAACGCGCAAATAATTACGACCACAATTACTCGGCGGGTGCGTGCGACACGCGTATTAAATACATATCGCAACGGATACTACCCGTCGAAGCGCAAAGAATGTCGGTCGCCCCTTTGACGCTATGCAAAGTTGTTTCACTTTGCATGGCATGAGGCATGAAGCATACGATATGCTCCACATCTCTCCACCCCTTTGAATGAGCGCGTGCGTTCGCTACATCATTTAAATATCACGGTCAATTATTTCACGCAAAATGTGGCAAACAAACGTGGCACGTGCAAAAAAAAATTCAATCCCTGCACGGATTTAATTTTAGAATTTTCAATGTGCATAATAATTTTATAATAAAATGTGAAATGTGCAAGATTAAGGTGAAAGTTTTAATACGTATTAAATGCGGAACAATCGGTAAACAAATGAAGGCAATCGGGGTTGTTTCAGGGGTTTGAGGCTGTGGGCGCGCGCGAAAAGGGAAAAGAAGCACCCGCGGGCGTTCGCAGCAGGCCACACGTAGCGTCCTTATTTTGCATCGTTAACCGCGCGACGTTCGTCGGCGGCGTCGTCGCTGCGCCAGTGTGCGAAATGTTTGAGGGTGGTTTTGCGGCAGAGCCGGGAGCGGTGCGACGTGCGAACGCGAAAGTCGCCGCGGCGCGCGTCGGCGACGCCCATCGCACACGCGGACGAGAGGGGCGCCCCACCCGCGCGCTTTTGTCTCCGGCGAGGGCCGACAAAGGACAAAAACTAATTCGCGCACACAAAGCGTAACAACTAGCGCAACAAACACACTACGTAAATGAACAATGAGGGCGCGCGTAATTCGCATAAACGCATTTACAAATCTCGCGCGGAACAAAGCGGACGGCAAGGACGACAAAAGGATTTGCGTCAGCTTGTGAAGCAGAGCATTCTCGTTTCGCCGCCGAGTGATATACTGCTAGTTCATAAGTAATTTAAAAGTAGTTTTTTTCGCTTTTAAATTGGAGTTATTTATGCGCGCGTTTTTTTTTTTATATTGCGAGGGTGGAGGCGCCAGAAGGAAAACTCGTAAACTCGGAAATGTAAATTTACGTTAATGACCTCTTCCTGCCTTGCGTTTAACTTCCTCGCCTCTGTTTTCCGCTTTCTATCTGCTCCCATCTTCTCCCCTTTGCCAAGAAAAGCCGAAAGCTTTATAACAATGCGCGTATAAACTCGTTTCCCTTGAGTTTTCCACAATTTCCTTTATAACCTTTATTCAAAGCATCTTAACATTACAACCCCTCCGATTTGTGAGAGTTGCAGTATTTTTCAACCCTTCCAACAACAGTTTTTAAACGAAATTAAATTATAACTCACCGTCTTTGTTCATCCCCATTGTGAGACATTTCTTCAGACGACACGCTTGACACTGGTTGCGATGTGCTTTGTCCACCACACAACGACCGGTACCGGCTTGGCATCTGCAACAAACAAAAACAATTAATATTAAATCCTCATAAAAACATCAAAACTAAAAGTTGCACTTTGCGTGTCATGATTCACTGTTCTCCAGAGAGATGGATGCGAAAGGCGAGCACAAGGATCAACTTGATCGTTCCACAACGCGGGGAATAACCGATCTCACTAATCCTAGACGTGGTTGGAGCGTTGGATGGCTGTGGGTATCAGGTGGTTGCGCCGAGCAAAATGCGACAGTTGCCTTCTGGTTATCAAACCACCCTCCCAGCCTCCAACCCTCTACTGGTAGCAACATCTGATATCATACACCTACCGAGTGTTTTCCACTTAAAATTTTATCAACATTTTTCTTGTTAATGTTTAATTTCCACGTGGAACACATGGTATCTTCTATAAGATTTTTTGCGCGTTGGCGGTTTAACAGTTTAACCATTTAACATTAAATTTGGGATTTTGTGTCGCATGTGCGCGTTCATCCTTGCGCCCCTTGACATCCCCAACCTGCGCTAAATGACATTATAAATGATGTTAAATTT